GACATGTTTCTTTGTGTATAAATATCTGTGTCAAGACATGACACAAGGATACAGAACATATGTTCTGTATCCTTGTGTCATGTCTTGGTTTTGCCTGTTTCAGGTCCGTGCATTTCCACAGCTCAAAAGAGCTTGAGGCACTTTTGGGTTTTCTTACATATTAATTAATGCTTAATAAACCATAAAGAGTCTTCACTTTAGAAGGGATCACAAAAAACAGTAACAATTAACAACTCCCTGACATATTCATGCATTGCAGTATTAATAAGTCATCTATTCATGTTTTATTAAGTATGAATAAACAGCGAATCATGACCTTAGTCACCAGGAGTAAATCGTTAGTGAATGTGTTATTAAGTATGAGTCATGCTTAATTAATGGTTTTCTCATCATTAATTAAGTACTTATTCATGGTTAACTAAGGATGAATAAGGTGTAGTTATTATAAAGTGTTACCGAAATGTTTAGTGTAGACAGGATGTCTAGCTCAGGCTGTTAAATGCTTAGTCATTCCCATAGGGTACTCCAGGTTGTTCATGTTCAAGGATAACTAGATAGAAAGTTGATCACTGTTAGGAGACAGAATGTTTATTATTATTATTATTATGACGTGTTTAAAAAATAAAATCATGCAACAGGTTATGTGAAGCTGACAATCAGCAGTTGGACACAAAGAGGCCTCAGATACTAAATTCTACAGGAAGGTTGGTTTGTCAATACAGTTTTAAGGAAGAAAAAAAAAATCACTTTTTAGATTTGTGAATTTACTCATGAACAAATTATTGAGCAAGTTTCATCACAGTCACTCACAGTGTCTCTACTGTACCTTGGCCGCACAGGAGCCAGGCTGCAGAATCTGAAGAGTGACAATGAGTTTAACAGCTTTTCTAAACCAGGGATAAAACAAGGCATAGATCACAGGGTTCAGACAGGAGTTAAAATAGAACAGAAAGAGCGCATAAAATGCAGATGATCCATTAAGCACACTGTCCCCTGCAAGAGACACACAATAATATGGGCAGTAACACATTAGAAACCCCAGAACAAGAACACCCAGAGTCCTGGCTGCTTTCAGCTCAGACTTCTTTGTACTTAGAGTCACTGAACGCTGCAGTGTGACAGCTGTGATGTGAGAGCGCATAGCACGGGCCTGAGACACGGCCACCACAAACACTCTCATATACAGGACTATGATGACAGTAATGAGGAAAATAAAAGTCAAAACAATGTCAACAGCTCCTGTAATGTAATCAATGACAATCACACACTGACCATAACAGGAGTTATATCTGCCTAGTTCAGTGAAGTCATTTTTTAAATAGATACCACTGTAGAGAAAATAATAGAACCAACACAGACAAACACAGAGTTTCACTCTTCTCACAGTGACTCTGGTGGGGTAATGCAGAGGGTCACAGACAGCAATGTAACGGTCGACTGATATAAGAACCATGTCTCCTATTGGAGTAAAAGAAACAATGCAGGATAAATATTTGTACAGTGAACACATCACATCACCAAGAAACCAGCAGGTAGTTAATCTGAAGATTTCTCCAGGCATCGCGAGGAGGCCCACGAGAAAGTCGGAGACAGCCAGAGAGAGGAGGAGGATGTTAGTGGGTGTGTGGAGCTGCCTGGAGGGA